TGCTCAGTTTATCAGCAAACTGAGCACTTGAGAACACAATGGTGGAGACTTGGTTTTTTACTGTTTGGCAACTGGGAAAGTGACTCAAGTTTCCTTGCTGCATCTGAGTCTCCCACAGTCGCAGCTTTACTTGAAAAGCTTTCACAGCATCGTACATGTCTGTGATCACACGGTCCCGTCCCTGAAGCTGAAGGTTTAGTGCACTGAGATAATTAGTAATGTCACATAGAAAAGCTAATTCACATAGCCACTTTTTATCCCGCAATGCTGTGGAGTCTTTTCCTTTGCTTTCAATAAACTGACAGATTTCCATACGCAATTCAAAAAAATCTATTGAGCACTTTCCCTCGACTTAGCCATCGCACCTCTGTGTGATAAGGGAGATCACCAAGTTCAGAATTTATGTCTTCAAGAAAAAACTTAAATTGAGGGTGATTTAAACCTCTGGCTCTTATAAAGTTAACTGTCTGTGTTACAGTATGTATTACATGTTTCATTTTCAGGGCTTTGCCGCATAGTGTTTCTTGATGTATGATGCAGTGATATGCTATCAGCTCACCTGTGCAATTCTCGCTCTTCATTTTTTCCCACATCCTTTCTACTAATCCACTCTTTTCCCCGCACATTGAAGGTGCTCCATCTGTTGTGACTCCTATAAGTTTGTCCCAGGGCAGTTTCATATCATTTATACTTTTGGATACTGCTTCAAATATGTCCTTTCCGGTGGTAGTGCCATGCATTGATTCTATAGCCAGAAGTTCCTCCATAATGCACAAACTTGAGTCTACTCCACGGATGAAGATTGTCAGCTGTGCTGTTTCAGAGACGTCAGTGCTCTCATCCACAGCAAGGGAATAAGCAATACATTCTTTTCCCTTTTCAACCAATTGTCCTTGTAAATCAGTGGCAAACTCACATATCCGATCAACAACAGTATTTCTGCTTAGGCTTACATTCAAAAAAGCTTGCTTTTGGACACAAGACTTCACTTTAATCATGCAGCGCTTCAAAAACTCCCCCTCTGTAAATGGCCGGGCTGATTTAGCTATCTCTTCTGCCACTATAAAACTAGCTTTCACAACAGCTTCACTTTGTGATTTTGCTTTTGTGAACATATGCTGCTGTGACATCAGGCTCTTTTTCAAGTCTTCCACCTTCTGTGCCTTCTGCTCCATATTCAAGTTTTTGTAGTTGTCCTGATGTTTGGTCTCATAGTACCGTCTCAATTTATATTCTTTAAATACAGCCACAGTAGCTCCACAAACAAGGCACACAGCCTTATCTTCAGTGTCAACAAACAGGTACTCTGCCTCCCACCTCTTTTGAAAGCATCTTTTTTCAGAGTCCACTTTCCGTTTAGCCATTTTTGGGGGTTTAAATATTGGCACGCAGGTCTTCTTCCCTGCAGATGTATATATGGATGAGACTGGACAGAAAGCTCAAAGTCCCAGGTGCATGTAAGGCAAGCAGTTGTGAGCATGCTAGGTGTCCACTCTAGTGGCTCAGTAGGATGCTGCAAGTCCAGATGTTTTAATGAGGTTTAGCAATATCACAGCATCTATGGAGAGAAAGCAAGCGACTGCAGCCCTCTTTGATACAATTGAAATTATATATTTTATACAAGAGAGATCCTGTATGGATGGAGGAAAAAATCAGCAATCCACCATCACTCCAAAGCTGATCTAGCAGCCACAAGAACTACTCAGTCTCTCTAGTTAAGCTTCCTCCATTTCTGATCAGATTCTGATATTTTCAGGGCTGCCTTCCAGTCTCTGATTGCAGGGGGGGAATCAAGACACATCCAGCTTTCCCAAATAGGAGACAAGGAACCACTTGTTCCATCTTTTTCCAACAACTCTCCTATGTCCATGAAGCCCAGAAATAAAGCTCAAAATCCCTGAAATATCCATCCAAAATTTAGCTTTCGCAAGCAATGCTGGTTAGATTTCTCAGGGTCTGTTGGTCTCTCCTTTGGGGGAGACCCAAAGAATCCCTCCATTGACTTCCACACATTTTCCACAAAGCCTCAGAGCATAATGAGATTTGGGGACCCAGGGGCAAGGGGATGGGGCTCATGGGGGAGGATGCCCATCAGTTATTGAGTGCCAGTTGTTTAACATGTGTGGTATGCCAATGAAGGGTTTTGGGCTGTGTGGCACTGGACCGTGGAGCAAGGACTTCCCCTTTGTACTTTTAGTCCAGATCTTTGCTAGTGGGGAATTCTGGGAGTTGAAGTACAGCTGTCTTAAAGTTACCAAGATTGAGAGAGATGGGCTCAATTGTTGTATGCTTGCTGAGTTTTCAGTTTGTGGGGATGCTTCCCCAAAATGAGATAGTCTTGGAGCACCCAAAGGAACAGGAATCCCTCAGTCTCTCCTGCCTGCATATCCTCCCCTCCCTTCCTAGCTGACAACAAGGGGTTAAGGGGCCAGAAGGCTGATGTTGCTGATGCGCTGCCTGGAGCCCTGCCCCCTCCAGCCCAGCTCAACTCCGTTTCCCCCTCAGAGGCAGCGTGGCTGCCTGGAGCCCTGCCTCCTCCAGCCCAGCTCAGCTCCGTTTCTCCCTAAGACGGCAGCGTGGCTACCTGGAGCCCTGCCCTCTCCAGCCCAGATATGCCTAGCAGGCTGCGATGGAAACTTCACATTTGGGCTCACAACTTTCCTGGGCTAGAGAAGGGCGGAGGGCGGTGGAGCTCCTGTTGCTGCTACTGCTGCTAAGCAGCAGAGTTGGGCCAATGAGTTGCAACTGTTGCTGGGCTCCATAAGCCCACGTGTGCTTGCCTTCTCCGGGCTGGTGCCAAGGCGGTGGGGGCCGGACCTTTGTCATTTCCAGGATACCTGTCCGGGCCGCACCCAATCATATGGCGGGCCATTTTTGGCCCGCGGACCTTGTGTTTGACATGTCTGGTCTAAATTTTCCGTACATTGTACTTGTTGATCTTTAAAGTCCTCTGTCTTGGTATTAATTTCTTCCACTTCTGTTGTTTTTTGTATTGTAAGTTCTTTGGTTGCGTTCAGGGTTTCACTTTGTAGGTTTAAGCTGGTGCCTTTGTCTTTCAGTCTAGATTTAATTATCTCAGTAGCTTCAAAAAAAATTACAAATGTAAGTTTATAATTAGCTGAAATTTGTTGCTGGTCCTCCTCCATTTCTGACATAGTTATAGATGGTCTTTTAGTGAAGGCTATTTATTAAATAAGAGCCAGTAAGTGTTCACTTCCACAGTTCCTAAAAACCAATTTCACCGCCCAGCTGTTCTCTCAGCTTTTTATCTTTTTTAGATAATACCAAGGACAGATCTGGCCTATAAGCAGGTCTCTTTGTCAAGAATATTCACCTGCTGTACCAAACTTCGCCACAAGATGTCCCCGATAGCATTTAAAGTCTTTTTCAGAACCCGGGCTAGGTTTTTATCCAATTTAAGTTCTTTTTCATCTTTTTTACGAGTAGATAAGGTAGCAGGTCCCTATGAAAGTAGGAACTTTTTGGGTCCCCAAATATCAAGAAGATACAAATCCAATTATTTAGTTGTTCTTTTCAAGGCTTTATTTTCCCTAGGTAGTCAGCCGCCGCCATTTTAGAGGGTGGGAGGAAGAAGTTCCCTTCCCTCTCTCCTCACAGGGGGAAGAAATTTCAAGAAGCTTTTTACAGGAAAGTACTTGAGGTACAAAGAAGGTAAGATCTCACCCAATTCCTCCGCGGTGCTTTCAAAGTGCTTGTTGGTAATTTTGGCCTCAGCTGGTAGCGGCTTAATGATGGGCCATGTTAATGGCCGATTTTTTCCCCGTCAGTTCGAAGAGCTGCCCCGGACCAAACGGGAGGGCTGCCGCCCTTCTGCGATCACTCGGGGGTCCTCTTCATGCATGTCGCCCCTCCAGGGCGACTTTCGACCCTTTTCACGGTCCCCCGGTGGGAGAAAACCGGACGGCGGAGAGAGCGATCGTCCCACATATCCGCCAGTGCTGCGATCACAAACCGGAAGCCCATCACTGGAGATTTTTAAGACGAGACTAGACATTCACCTGTCTGAGACGGTATAGGTTCTCCTGCTTGAGCAGGGGGGTGGACTAGAAGACCTCCAAGGTCCCTTCCAACTCTATTCTATTCTATTCTATTCTATTCATCAAATTTGGGGGATGACACTCAGAAGATAGCTCAAGATCCAGAAGGATCTTGAACACTGGGCCCTATCCAACAAAATGAAATTGAATGGTGGGAAAAGTAAGATTGTACACCTAGACAAAAGAAAAACAAAAACAAATGCACAGGTATAGACTAGGTGATTCCTGGCTCAATAGCAGTAACTGAGAGAGGGGATCTAAGAGCCCTAGTGGACAACTACTTAAACATGAGCCAGCAGTGTGCTGCAACCACCAAAAAGCCAACACAGTCCTAGGCTGTATTAACAGAGGGAGAGAATTATGTGAAGTGTTATACCACTTTATAATGCCTTGCCAAATCCACACTTGGAATATTGCATCCAGTTTGGTTGCCATGATATAAAAATGATGTTGAGACTCTAGAAAGAGTTCAGAGAAAAACAATAAAGATGATTAGGGGACTGGAGTCTAAAACATGAAGAACAGTTGCAGTAAATGGGTATATCTAGTCTAAGAAAAAAGGACTATGGATCACATGTTAATAGTTTTCCAATATCTAAGGGGCTGCCACAAAGAAGAGGGGATCAAGCTATTTTCCAGAGCATCTGAGGACAGGACAAGAAGCAACAGATCGAAACTAATCAAGGTGAGATCCAACCTTGAAATAAAGAGAAATTTTCTTACAATTAAAACAATCAATCGGTGGAATGGCTTGCCTTCAGAAGTTGTGGGTGCTCCATCACTGGAGGTTTTTAAGAAGAGATTGAATAGCCAATTGTCTGAAATAGTATAGATTCTCCTGCTTGAGCAGGGGTTGGACTAGAAGACCTCCAAGGTCACTTCCAACTCTGTTATTCTGTTTTCTGTAAATGAGAACCAGAGTTTAGTATAGAGTTGACTTACTGTAGTAAGGCTTTGGTTTTCCTTGTAGGATCATCAGGACGAAAATTCTTATATTCCTCCACCTCCTTTTCAAGTGACAGCAGCTGACTCTGCAGTTTGCTACGCAAGGATGGCAGGGTGTCCCGGATATGATTTGTCAATTGCTGAAGAGAAGATATGAAGCACCAATAAGTTTATATTAATATTATTACATAATGTTTCTTACTACTAAAATAAGCCATCCTCCCTTTGAAGCCAGTGAGGCTGAATCATGCACTATTTCCTTAAGTACTTGCCAGTCTATTTTGCTCTCAAAGAAGAGTACTGATCTGATAGACAATCTACTTGGTTGGGAAGCGGCGTTGTCTTACCTGAACGCCTTTTCTCAGTATGGAGATGGAGAATCCACCAATGGGTTTTCTCTGTCTGCCTGCTCTTGAGACCAAGTAGCCAAACTTGACACGTCCCCTCTTGCTAGGAGATCCAGTCTTGACGAGGGCGAAAGTGGCTGAAGGTGGACGAGGTGTTGGCTCTCAATCCCTTAATATTGGCCTAACTGACCTAAAGGGTGGATGTGGATTCTCCATCTCCATACTGAGAAAAGGCGTTCAGGTAAGACAACGCCCCTTCTCCAGTACAGGAGATGGAGAATCCACCAATGGGACATACCAAAGCCTCACTGTCCCGATGGGTGGGAAACAGATAAGGCCGGATCTATGTCCCCGGAGACCACCTGCTGAAGGACCCTCCGACCAAAGGAGGTGTCCGCGGAAGCGAAGCGGTCAATCCTGTAGTGGCGTACGAATGGGGAGGGCGAGGACCATGTCGCAGCCCTGCAAATCTCCTCGATGGACGCCTGAGTGGCCCATGCCGCAGATGTCGCAGCGCTGCGAGTGGAATGGGCTGTAATATGACTTGGAGTCAGCAGCGAAGAAGACTGGTACGCCTCCGCGATACAGGACCTGATCCACCTGCCTATAGTGCCAGCGGACACCTTCCATCCCAGAGAAGCCAGACGGAAGGAAACAAAGAGGGCCTCAGATCTGTGAAAAGGCTCCGTGCGTTTGATGTAACGCCGCAGGGCCCTGCGGACATCCAGTGTGTGCCATTGCCGCTCCAAGTCATGGGAAGGATTGGGACAAAAATTTTGTAAAATGACTTCCTGTGCCCTATGGAAGAGTTGACCTTGGGCACAAAAGCGGGATCCAACCGAAGAACCACCCGGTCTCGGTGGAAGATGCAAAGGTCATTCCTGACTGAGAGAGCAGCCAGTTCGGAGATACGTCTGGCTGACGTGATGGCGATTAAGAATGCAACCTTAAGAGACAAGGCCCGCAATGGAATAGTAGCAATGGGCTCAAAGGGCGGTTTTGTTAGAGCGCAAAGCACACGAGGCAGCTCCCATGAGGGGTACCTGTGTACCACGGGAGGTCTGGTGTTGCATGCACCCTTGATGAAGGCGCGTATTCTAGGGTGATGAGCTAAAGAAACTGAATCCGCACAAGTGAGCAACGTTGACAGGGCCGCCACCTGCCTACGAATGGTCGCAGGGGCCAGGCCTCTGTCCAGGCCATCCAGAAGATAATCTACGATCTGAGGGATGGTTAATTTGTAGACATCCAGTTGTCGCCTTTTGCACCAATGGCAAAAAATTTTCCAAGTAGAATCATAAATGTGATTGGTCGCCGGGTGACGGGAGGCTTGAATCATGGTAATTGCACGTGGTGAAAATAATTCTTGAGTCGTGATGCTGCGCTCAAGCGCCAGACAGTCAACTGCAACCACTGAGGGTCCGGTTGTTGGAGGACCCCCTGGTGCAAGGACACGCGACACGGAGGAATCTTCCACGGAGGGGACCGGGAGAGATTCATCAGGTCAGCAAACCAGGGCCTTTGTGGCCAGTACGGGGCCATGAGGATCACTTCCGCCTGCTCCTGGAGCAGTTTGCGAATGGTCGCCGGAATGAGCAGGAGGGGAGGAAAGGCATAAAGGAGACCTTGTGGCCACGGGGACCGCAGGGCGTTCGTCCCCTCCGCCCCTGGAAGATAATAACGGGAGAAGTACCTGGGGAGTTGGGCATTGCTTGACGATGCAAACAGGTCGAGGACCGGCTGGCCGAACCTGTGGGCGATCTCGGAAAAGAGATCCGGATGCAATCCCCATTCCGAGGGGTCTACCGTGGAGCGACTCAGAAAGTCTGCCTGCTGGTTCTTGACCCCCGAGATGTGTTCTGCTCTGAGAGAGGCCAGGTTGGACTCTGCCCAGGAGCCCAGGAGCCGTGCCTCGGACATAAGGGACTTGGACCTGGTGCCCCCCTGCCGGTTCACATGGGCCTTGGACGCCACGTTGTCCGTGAGGATCAAGATGTGACGGCCCCTGATCCAGTGTCAGAATTGGCGAAGAGCCAAATGGATGGCCCTGAGCTCCAGCCAATTGAAGTTGTCTCTCAAGTCTGCGCGGGACCAACGGTCCCGCGCAATCTGAGCACCCCAACCGAATAGACTGGCGTCTGTCATAATGGTGATGCGGTCTGGCTCCTTGAAAGGTGACCCCTTGGTGACCACTTGTGAGAACCACCAGCGTCGGGACCTGAGAGTGTGGACCGGGAGCCTCACCTGGTGGTTGGATGCGCTGGCATTCACTCGTTGGAATGGCAGGAGGAACCATTGGAGATCTCGCAAGTGGAGTCTGGCCCAGGGGACTATGGCTATGCAGGAGACCATCTTTCCCAGAAGCTGGGAGAGTAAGACCAGAGGAACGGTGCGGTCCTTGTACACCCAACGAGCCAGGTCCCTGATGCTAACCAACTGCTCCTGGGAGAGATAGACCATGCAGTTTGTGGTGTCTATGATGGCTCCCAGGTGCAGAAGCCGGGACAAGGGAACCGTCTGGCTTTTTTGGAAGTTGACCGAGAACCCGTGCTGTTGGAGGACCTGAATAGTTATTTCTAGGTCCGACTGGGCTGCCCGGAAGGAGGACGCTTGGATCAAGATGTCGTCCAGGTAACACTGTACGTGTACCGGTACCTTCCGCAAGTGGACAGCTAGTACAGCCAGGATCTTGGTGAACACCCTGGGTGCCGAGGAGAGGCCAAAAGGAAGGGCCTTGTACTGGAAATGACTGCCCTTGTAACAGAACCTGAGAAACCGCCGGTGAGCTGGATCGATGGGGATATGGAGATACGCTTCCATGAGGTCTATTGACGCCAGGAAGTCTCCTTGTCTGATGCCTCCCAGGATGGACTGGAGTGATTGCATCTCGAATTTCTTGTATGTGATGTAATAGTTCAAACCCTTGAGGTCCAGAATTGCTCTCCAACCCCCCGAGGTCTTGGGGACCACGAAAAGGATGGAGTAGAATCCCCCTCCCATGTGGTCCGGTGATACTGGTTCTATGGCCTGAATCTCTAGATGTTGAATGGCCTCCTGCATAAGTCTCTGTTTGGGAGGGTCCCGGGAAGTGGGACAGGTGATGAAGCAGTCCGGGGGACTAGCTAGAAACTCCAGGGACAGGCCAAACTGGATAGTTTGTAAGACCCAGGAGTCTGTGGATGTGAGTTCCCACTGATGGAAGAAGTGGGCCAGCCTTCGCCCAATGGGAAGTGCGGTGTAAGAGTCACTTGGACCTCCTATAGGGGCGACCTGCCCCTCGAAATGGCCTCTTAGATTGGTTCTGCTGCCTGGGCTGAAAGCCCGGCCTGTCATACGGACGGTCATATGGTCTGTCCTGCCTGGGTGTGTATGAGCGGAAGGGCTGAGTAACTGTTGAACCTGCTACCAGCCGAAAGGACTGCCTGCGGAAATAGGGAGCAGGACGTTTGTCAGCCCGTTTATTCAAGTGAGCCATGACCTTCCGCTTGTCCTTGTTTTCCACAAGGTACAGGGCCAGGGCCTCCCCCAAAAGATTTTTGCCCAGATATGGGGCAGTTGCAAGACGCCATTTGGCTTTGGCGTCAGCCTGCCAGTGTTTCAGCCATAGCATCCTTCTGGCTGTAATGTTGGATGCTAGAGACCTAGAAGCAAAGTTGGCCAACTGAAGTGTCGCATCCGCAGCATACTCAGTGGCCGCCACCATTTTGCTTAGGTCCTGGTGAGTCCGAATGTCATCAGCAGGGACTCTGGCCTGAAGCTGACGAAGCCATAAAAGGGTGGTCCGGACAAAGAAGGATGCACAAGTGGCCCTTTTGATTGCCCAAGCCGCTGATTGATGGGTCTTCCGGAAAGTTTGGTCCCATTTTCTGTCGTCCGCTTTAAGCGCCTCCGACATGTCCTCAGCAACCGCAGTCTGGGATACCAGAGGGGTCCAGGCTTTGTCTACCTTGGGGACCTCCAGGGCCTCAGTGAGGTCTGTGGAGGTGCTAAAAATCTTTTTATCAGTCCCGCTCATGGAAGGAAAGGAAGGGGAGGCCCACTGTTTCTTGATCCCTTTAAGAAAAATAGAGGGACATGGAACGTGATGTTGTGCTGCCACCGTTTCAAAAAATATCGGATTTGGACTGGAATCTGATGTTGCCTGCGGCTGAGGGAACTGATCGGACCCTATGTTTGCCATTGATGTGGCCTTGCGAAGTAGGGGAAGAAACAGGGTTGGATTGAACAGTCCTCCCGATGGGGAGGGTTCCTCCTCCTCTGATAGATTAAAGTCCGGCTGCTCCTCACCCTGCGGGGATGAGTATCCGCTCATGGAGGAGTGTGCAGGAGATGTGGGTTCCTGAAGCATAGGGAACCCCGTGGGAGGTACATAAGGTGGCATGGCCGACATGGAAGCCCCCTGTCCGGGTGGATGGAAGGACCGTTCTGCTAGAGCGCAGTCCACAACCCTGGATAGCAAGGACTCAAGGCGGTCGTCAGAGAAAATGTCTCCGAAGTCTGGTCCCCTGAGCCCTGCGGCCGTTGGCGTAAAGATGGCCTCTGGAGCTGAACCCGAGACGGTTGCTGTGTGTTGGACCAATTCAGAAGGGAAACTGAGTGTGGCGGGCGTCCCTGTGAGAGACCACACGCCCTGAGCCGAGGTTGAAGGGCCTAAAGGAAGGTCAAATTCAGGGACCGCCATTTGATCCTTCTCCAAACCGGTCTGTCTCTGCGCTCTGGAGAACTCCTTCTCCAGAGCCTGGTGCCTACGGCTGGCTTGCTTTTCTGCCAACTTGGAAGGCTTCTTAAGAGTTGCCTTAGCCTTGGGTTTGAGCTTGCCTGCCACCTCCTGATCAGAGGTTTTGTGCCGGCCGTAACTGGAGGATGGGGAGGCAGTGCTCATGGGTTGAGGCATCATGGAGTCCTCCATCCTGGTTGAGCTGTCTCAGGGAAACTGAGGCGAAGCTCTGGCAGGCAAGCGGTTGGCAGAAGCGAAATTGGAGCAAGTAATGAAGACTGCTCCCCTGACCACCTGACCAGAAAACAATCTATCTGGGCTTTGGTCACGGCACTTGAGTCTGATGCCGAAGGCACGGTTGGGAACCCGCTCTGGGCTCCACCTGGAGGCCTTAGGTGGCCAGTCAAGGTGCACCAGATGGCCCAATGAAGGGCGCAGAAGGCCTGAAGGAAGGCCTGACAGAAGCAATGTGAGTACAAAATGGCGGCTCCAAAACAAGATGGTGGCCTGAGAATTTGGGCCTAGTCTGTGAATTATTAGGGCTATAAATAATGATGCAGTTAATGAGGCCTACATGGCAGTCGCTGGGCAAGAATAGTTCTTAGATGTGCTGAAAGGTAGCCAAGGCCTTGTGGGAGAGCTTGGGGCCTGTAGTCAGTACCGGGGGTCTGATGTATAGGCCTGAGGGAGGGCCTCACGATGTTCACAAGATGGCGGCCGCAACGTGCTCCGCCAAAATTCCTGGGATGACAAGGTCGTGTGAGGGGCCTGGAGTCCTGGGGGAAAGCCCTGTAGCACATAGAGGCCTTCAGCACTTAATCCGGCTGATACAAGTTTGCAAAGCTGGCCGCGTGGCGTGCCCAAAATGGCGGACGCGGCGAACTTATTAATTGCTTGCAGAATTTGTCTTTGACGACAAGGGGAACCTCCGTTAAGCTTGTGAGTTTGGCAGCCGTCCAAAATGGCGGCCGCAACTTTCAGGCCGTTAGAAACGGCCTCCGGAGATGTCGAGGATGAATGAGAACTCTGGGGTGATTGTGGCTGCAGCGCTGAGTGCTGCACAGGAAAGCCGACGGGGGAACTGGCAAGGAATTTCCCCCCACGAGCCCTGGGGAGATAAACGGAGAAGTGCTTTCCCCCCCCACCCCACAAGCCTCAAATCAGCCGATTTGAGGCTACGCTGATCCCAGCGTTTCTGGGGGAAACGTTTGGGGGAAATACTCTTTGAAATGGAATCACTAATTAGGGAATGCACAAATACCAAGATTGAGGCAAGGAGAATTCAACAATGGGTCTCTGACCTGCTAAATTGAAGTGAAGATCTCTAAAACCTGAGAGCCAAACCTGATACGTCTTCAAGAGCTTGAGACCAAGTCAAGACTGGATCTCCTAGCAAGAGGGGGCATGTCAAGTTTGGCTACTTGGTCTCAAGAGCAGGCAGACAGAGAAAACCCATTGGTGGATTCTCCATCTCCTGTACTGGAGAAATGATAATAATTAGAAGGTAATTATAGTACTCAAGAATCTTTATACTCCATTCTCTCCCCAACATACTTTGTTCATTATAGTAAATTAAGAAAGAGCAGAATCCTTTTATCTTATGTAATGTCACCTATAGAACATCTATGGCTTCAACAAGGTTTGCTCACATTCAGTAGAAATGTATTCATATTTATCCAGTATTAATACTCCTGCAGTTTGTTTATGCCTGGTATAGAGATCTAAATTAACTATAAACGAAGATATCCTTGTTTCTTTGCAATATCTGAATTAGCTCTAAACTGAAGCATAGCTAATTGAATTATGGATGTTAAGACAGAGAGAAAAACTCACATGTAGGTTTAAAATAAGAGAGACACCTTCTCCAATAATATACACCATTAGAAAGCATAAAAGAAACTTGCAGTAATGTTCAGCTGAAGGTAAAAATTAAGAATGAGCCAAGAAAAATGAAGACTGCTGTAGGAACAGCTTACCTGGTTCAAGACCTTCTGCAAATGGGGAGTTCCCATGCGATCAGCCATGTGTCTGTAAGCAGGATGGGAAAGGAAGAACTTGCGCTCAGCAGCCAATGCTGCTCTGATATCCTTTTTACCATCAATATCCTTCTGGCTCCGGTTCACAACTCCAATGTAGCCTACAAAGGGACAACTCCATATCTTAAGTTCTGTCTTAATTTGTGCAGGGCCAAGAAGAAATTTTGAGAAAGGTAGAATGAGACAGTGCAGCAACTTAACAAAGTCAGATAAACATAAGGGTATACTGGTAACAGAGGGAATATACTTCTATCACTGAAGTCTAGAAATCCATTTTTAAAACTGTGAACATAATGTTATTATTTCTTTGCATAAAACACTCTGGATCGATAGGATCTCACTCTGAACAATCTGCTTGTCAATCATGTCATCATACTACTGATCTTAAATGACCATTTTTAACATAGAAAAAAGGAATTCAAAATTATATAGAAAACTAGAATGGAGTACCTGAATGTACTTATTTTGTGTTTTATTCTAGATGCAGAACAATGATTCTCAATTGGACTAAATGGATAATCATAATCATAGTTTGTGAAATGAGTAGTCCTGTACTAATTATCTATTACCAGATAAAGCTTGTCAATTTAATGGCTATCCAAGGGAATAGTATGAAATCATAACCTTGATGTCCAAGCCAATAGAACAGCAATTCAGCAATTTTTGCTGAAATGCCCAAGACTAATCTGACTTATGTATTTCTTTTACATGTCAACTATGCATATGACCTACTGTATATTAAAGCACTTTCTGCTGAACTATTTCTTAGCTTCTAAATAACTATTCTAAACAAGTATATATGGCTCCAGCTTTTAATGCTTATTTCCAGAGGAAAAAAGATAGATAATTACAAGTAACCTATGGTATCAGATGCTTCCTAAGGCCAAAAGGTGTCCAGTATAAGAAGATGCTGCTGCCTGTATTAGCTTTTCAAATTTCAGTGGGTTAGGAATCACAAATGATAAAGAGGTAGAATCATTATTTTACCTGGAAGGAAGAAGATTCTTAATTTAAGATTATCTTACCTTAGAAAGGATAAAAGTAATTAATTTTTCTGTTATGTTATTCTATTTCCATCTAATGTCCTTTTGGACCTATTGTTAGTTGGTGACTCACTACTACTATGAATTGAAGCATATGTATGTTAACTAAGTGTATGAAATGTGCCAGGAGCAAGGACATGACAGAACAACTTTCAAGACCTGTCAATTATACCTTCCTAATGACAATTTCGAGACAAATGATGCTCCAAAGAACAGCTACAACTGTACCACCAAAGACTTAAAAGCATCTCAGAAGGAAGCTCAAGTCTTATCTCTTCTTTCATTCCATGAAAGAGGGTCAGAAAGGGACAAAAGCAATACTGTAAATTAGTGAGTGTCTGATATATTAATGAGAGATACATGGTATGTGAAGTTATGATTTAAATTACTTAAGATGGTGGATAGCATTCATCTCAGAATAACTAGTAAAATGTATCTAATCAAGCATAGTGGGCTTGATTAAAATTGGATTGAGGGATGGGGCAGTTGGAAATGAAAATCCCTGAGGAACTCCACCGAGAAAGGATTATGAGCTAGGTTCTCCCCATCCCAAATCAACACTAATTGGAACTAGCCCTAGAGGAAGAGAATCAATGCAGAACTATGCCTCCCACTCCTATTCCACAGTCCAGAAATATGTCTTGATCAATAATATTGAAAGATGCCAAGAGATCAAGAAGAGCATGGATGAATGCACCATCCCCATCCCACTCCCACCTGAGCAATCAATACTGTTTCAGTCCCATAATTCAGGCCTGCAAATCAACTGAAAGTAGTCAAGCTATTCCACTTTTTTCAGTATTCCTTCCTTGTTTTGCCTATGAATTTAACTAACAACCCAAGACAGGATTCACTGAAAGAAATATCCATCAGCTATAATTCTGAATGGCTTTCTACCTCTCCGCAGAGGTAATAATTTATTCTCCAAGATATCTCTGGCATCAGTGCCTTCATCCATCAGGTCTAGCTTGGTTATTACTCCAATTGTTCTTAGGCCTGAGAAAGAAAAAAGAATTGTAATCAAATTGTAATCAATCTAGCAACTTCTAAAATAATTTTCTCAAGATCATTTTTCTTTGCAAAATAATAACAGCAATAGCAGTTAGACATATAACTGCTTCATAGTGCTTTACAGCCCTCTCTAAGTGGTTTATAGAGTCAGCATATTGCTCTCCCCGAACAATCTGGATCCTCATTTTACCCACCTCAGAAGGATGGAAGGCTGAGTCAACCTTGAGCCAGTCAGAATTGAACTCTTGGAGTGCGCAAAGTCAGACTGTAATACTTCATTCTAACCACTGTACCACCATGGCTCTTATAATAATCTTTATATAATATAGTATGTATGACAAATTTACCATCAGTCAATTGCAAAAACAGCTTACATCCTGTGATGATGCCTCTAATACCATCAAACATTAACATCTACCTATCTCAAACCCTATGCCAAATCCAATATAAATATCTGGCTGACTGCAACGAACCATAGCAAGTAATAAAAAATTAGCTGAAATATATTACAACAACATACTTAGTTGAGCTGGCTTGTTTAGGTTTTGCATTTCTGTCTCATGTCCCATTTATTTTATAGAGCTTCTGGAATGTTTTAATAGCTTGGCCAGCAGCATAGAATTAAAAAGTTACTACTCTAAACAATAGAAATTTACTCAATTTTGTTCTTATTTGCATTTTGAGGTAAAGCAGTGGTTCCCAACCTTTTCTATACCCCGCACCCCTAGAACACTTCTGATATATTCTTGCACCCCTTACAAAAGTTTGAAATAACAGCAACAAATTATGCATATACTATAATTTTGAAAACCCAAGTTTTCGCACCCCCTGGAATATCATCTCACACCCCTGGTTGGGAACCCGAGGTAAAGGATGCTTTAATTTTATTATTTCTTCCACTTCTTCTCTGCTCCCCTTCCTATTAGTAAAGGGCACCTCTTGGCATACTCCTGTGTCACCACTCCTATGCGAGCTGCATTAGCTGCCAATTAGCTTCAAGTGCAATTCAAGATGTTGGATATTACCTATAAAGCCCTATATGGCACAGGCCTTATATATCTGAGAGAGTCTCCAACTGTATCTGCTGGCCTGTACGTTCCAGCAGATTGTGTATGTTCCAGGTTCCCTCAATTAAACATTGCCATATTGTTGGGCCTAGGAAGTGTGCATTCTATGTTGTGGCTCTCACCCTCTGAAACAGCATTTTCCCCAAAGATGGCATCCCCTCTCCTAAAGTTTGAAAAACTGGCTTTGGCCCAGATCTGGGATTAATGTTTTACTATTTGTTCAGTGGCCCCTATTTTGTTTTTGTTGGTTTTGTTAAGCTCTGTGTTTGATTTAATATTTGTCCGTTTTTATATTTTCTCTAGTTTTGTTCGCTGCCCAGAGTCCCCTGGAATTGGCCAGCCAATAAATTTAAATAAATAATAATACCAGAAGATTTCTTTTAAGTCACTGAGGTCTTATCAATAGCTATTGCAACTATAGAACAGCAACAGCATTCTGGTACATTCTACCTGGACAAATCATCATAATTTGCTATTTTGGAATCTCACACTAGTCTGTGATGAAGAATGTATATATGCACTACATCCAAGTAAATATAAAAACATAATTTACCTTGTGGGTCAACTTCTTTAGCCTGTTTGAGCGCATCAGAGTTGGCCAAATCCATATTGGCTGGAGTCACAGCAAGAATCAAGCTGCTCTCTCTGCTAATGAACTGCAAAATCATATCTTTGATCTGGTATTCTATGTCCTGGGGTTGGTCACCCACTGGCACTTTAGTGATACCCGGAAGATCGATCAGAGTCAGATTCAACACTGAAAAGGAAATCAGCAAAGACTAAGACCTTCACCTGAGAAATGCTGTTTTGTCTTAAAATCAACTTTGAAACTTAGAGATTTTTCCAAAACCTTTCCACATTGGGGGGGGGGGGGCGACTATTAATGCCAAGAGTAAGTTCATTTA